CGGTGACGATGCTCCACGAGCATGTCGTATTTAATTTAATATTTTCATGTAAACTTCTGAGCGGATTTCCGACAGTACGGTTTCCAGCTCAAAAGGTTTTAAAGATGCAAAGTATTCATTTCGTGGATCACTTGGTCTCTGATCAAAAACTTTGCGTCACCATCTTCTAACTTTGCATAATGGACACATTTGGTTTTGACTGTGTTGATTTATTTGAGAAATAACAAAAACCCAAAAAAGGGTTTACAACACTAGTTGCATTGAGTGATAAATGTTTAACGTGATTTTACGGTGACGGCGCTAAGGCAACTCACAATACAGCGCTTTAATCTCCTTGGCCGCACGTAATATTACGGTGATGGCGACCGGCGATTGTCCGCACTAGTGCGGTTCTGCGTTATGAAATTTTTATATTATTGTTATAAATATTAAATAATTTTAAACTTAAATACATTTTAATTAGTACAAATACTTGCATCAAAGTAACACTATGGTTATTTTCTAATGAAAGTATACACTTTCATTGCAAATAGTGACAGTAATATCTATAGTGCCTTGTTTGTTCTTAGACAACCTATTAAGTATTTTTCGAATTCGCCCCATCCCTAGTACTCGTAAAATTACGTGATTGGCGATACAGATAATGGAGACGGTGACCACAATTTAATTAAACCTCAAATTTCACAGTATTTATCACTCAAAACATTGAGAAATATCCATAACAATAAAGATTATACCCTACATCTTGAAATTGACACATTTTATATGGAGTTTGTGCACTATAAGAAGATTTTTAATAAAATAACGTGATTGTACGTATGTGGCGATTCGGACACAGCTTTCGAAAACCGTAATATTACGTTGTCGGCGGTTAAAGGGTTAAAAAGAGGTGGTACTATGTTCGGATAATTGTTTATTCATGGGAATGATCCGAAGTGGGTGATTCAGTTCAAGTCAATATAATTTCCAGCTGTCACCGCATCAAACTCGTCTTTGCGAGGCTGTGCCTTGTTTTGTTTTTTTTTTTTTTAAACGTTGCCCCACATTAGGATTTTCTCCTGTGTCGTGGGTGCGTTTACAAACATACAAGTTCACATACACAATGACACCCAGACCCGAAACAACAATTTGTGGATCAAACAAAGTGTTGTTCCGTGCGGGAATCGAACCCGCGACACGTTGCACGGCAGCCGGTTGCCCAGCCAGCGCACCAACCGTGCAGTCAGAAATTATATTATTTACAGTTCGTAATGTAAGACAGTGGTTACTATTTTTTTTATGTTTCTGTGATTGTTGCTTGGGATAATTTGATATTAGACCATATACAGTAGCTTGAAACAAAGTTTACGTAATTTTGGTTAACTCGTCGAGTACCGGTTTTGTAGACACAATTATAGAACAATAGGTTGCGGTCACCGGTGACCGCTTGGTGTTTGACAGTTTAAATGTCAATTAGTTGGTAATAACAAAATTACAGTTTACATTCTTTTTGCATTACAAATAGGTAGTAACAGTGATCTTTGACAGTGAACTTTATTGTTTTCACCCAACACAAAGACAAAGAACAAGTGCAAAAAGGAAAATTATAGAAACAGATTATAGTTAGTATAGACTATAGAGTACCTAACTGTAAGTTGGAGGAAAAGAGAATGGATTTGTCTGACTACCCTACAGTAACACAAAGATTTAACTAATATTATTGATATTATATATCATGTGATTCTTAAACTGTCATACACCAAGCGGTCACCGGTGACCGCAACCTATTGTTCTATAATTGTGTCTATAATGACGGTACTTGACGAGTTATCATATCGAAGATCCCCAAACTTTGTTCATATAAAAGTGGTCTATATACATCGGATATAAGGTCTATAATGTAGTTAGTGGAGAGTCACATAGGTACATAGGTTTCTTATTTGAAGAGATAAAATAACAAATGTACTACCTACTTACATTTCATATTTCATACTTTCCTGTGAGATATTTTTAAACTGGTTAATTATCTTACCTATGATTCCAACTACTAAGTAATTAGTGCTGGAGTCATGTAGGAACTCTAAAGCACTAGGATTCAATTCTAGGTTCTCATCTAGCAGCTTCACAGGTTCCGTCATAAACTTCAAAGGAGGACTCGGCTTTTGTTCTGAAATTATGCACACACAATTATTTTACGACCTCGTTGGCAGAGTGGTCGCAAGTGCAACTGCCGGGCAAGAGGTCTCGGGTTCGATTCCCGGGTCGGGCAAAGTATTACTGGGTTTTAAAAATTCTCAGTAGTAGCACGGAGTCTGGAATTGTCCCAGTATATGGCAATAGGCTCACCCCCTATAACATAACTAGTGAAAAGTGGGTGTTACATTGTACAGTGGCATAATGTACACCTCTGCCTACCCCTTCGGGGATAAAAGGTGTGATGTTATGTAAGTATGTATGATTATGTTATTGCAGATTAAAATTATGTACTTTCCTTACATGTACTTGAATATTCATTTATGTGGTTAGATTAGATCTTAGTAACAAAAGCAGAATTAAATAATAAAATGAAAATTATTGTTTTTTTTTTTACCATTTTCACACTTACTCTTTACAGCTGAAATAGTAAAGTTGATCTATGTTCAAAAGTAGTAAAATATGGTAATGTTGGTGGTGGTTCTGTATTACCTACAGTTGAGGAAAACATATCTTATGGAGTAGGTACTAAAATATTACCAGGAGCTTTCTTCTCTTTGTTTTCATTTTGAGCAATTTTACATGGATGAGGGCCATCTCCTTCAGAGGTTGAAGTTCTAACAGTTTTAGGACTAAGAGGTCGTTCCTCCTTAGGAGTACTCTGCTCTCTGGTTTTCAATATTATGGTAGGCTGCTTTTCTTTTTCCTGCTTTTCTTTAGCCGGGTCTTTTGCAGTGTCACGATCTGATTTCAATATCATAGGTCGTCTCGGTGTAGTCGTCTCCTGTAATTTTCATTGTAAAATAATTAAATACAGCAAGTTTCTAAAGAGTTTCTAATAAGTTTTTTCTGAACTTACCTTCGGGGTAAATATTTTCTTCTTCTTATCTGCCATGTTGAACAAAGAGTTTTGAGTTTTCAGTGAATATTTTAAAATTGTATTACATTTGTTAAGAAATTATTTTACAAACACCACACATTAGAAATATCAATAAACTTATAATTTACTGTCAAAGTCAATGTCAACTATTTCAAGTGTCAATTGTCAAATTACTTTGACATTACCAAAAAACAACAGTGTTGCCCAATATTAAATTTTTAAAGGTTATGTTGGACAATGGTTTCGTATTGGAATCACTTACAACTAGAATGACCCATGCTTCAGCACGAATGGGCCGGCTCAACTGAAGAGATATTACTGCCTCACAGAAAACCGACATGAAGCAACGCTTGCGTTGTGTTTGTGCCGCTGCCGCTTGAGCCGCTAACGCACTTGTAACACGTCTGGCGTTCTAGGTGTCCATGGGTGACGCCGACTGCTTACCATCAGGTGATTCGTCTGCTCGTTTACCGGCTTATCCCATAAAAAACGGTTATTTACTATTTCGTGACACATAATTATTCAATTAAAGTAATTGGAAAAGTGTGTGCCATTCAGGCCCACCACTAGCTATTCGAGCGCCCGCGTGCAAATACCGATTATACCACCCTCCTTTTTTTGGATGGGTAAAAATCATTAAATGACTCTTGAGCAAGTGACTCCAGCACTTGCTCAAAGCCAGGGCCTCAGAACCTCAGTAGTCAGTACCCATCAACAATCCTGGTGGGCCCCTTCTATGGTGTCAAAGTCAAAGCATTTATTTAAATTAAACCATAATTTGGTACTTTTGAAACGGCATCAAATATATAATAAATAATAGTCTGTCAGTCAGTCTGTCAGTTAAGCTAGCTGAAGCTAGGTGGTCTGATGGCTTTTAGGGGCCCGCATTTTACGCGACGCGCCGTATGCTCGGGCCTGCTACCTGCAGGTGGTGAGCTATCCTTGCTTGCCGTCCGCAGACTCGCGCTTACGGTGGCCGGAGATCCCGACAACGCGACGCGATACTACACCCAATGCGTTTCCTGCTATCTCTAGTACGTAGGAGAGAAGGAGAGGGTTTCTAGTAAGAGGACGCTCGATAGTTTTTGAATAACTCTCGAGTGTGATGTCCTCGATCACGCGATAATATTCGCGTTACTTTCGAAAGGGATCGAGAACGCTCCATCGGTTTCAAGAACGCTCAATAGACTTCGAATTTAGGGCGCCACTGACCGGCTAGGGCGACAAAATAAGCTCAGAAGGATTCTTGTATCGGATTTGGACTTGGATCGCCATCAACCAGAAATGTGGGACGGCAAGTAGTAAGTAGATTCTTATTATTTTACCTTTTACAGAAATTTATTAAGGATACTTGTATACAATTTGATACTGATACAAGTACCTCTAAGCTATCCTCCTCTCCATCTCCTCTAATCTGTACAGGGTATATACAATCTATACACCCTATACAGGGTGGCAAAAAGTAAGCTTAGAGGAATTCTTGTATCGGATTCTGTATTGGGCGGTCGCCCTAGAAGATTCTATGAATTTTACAAGTCCTACCATTTATAGAAACCGATTAGATCTAGTCGGTCTCGACTTGTATAGAAATTGGGATGCCACCGAACAGCTGAACACTGAACTGATAGCAGGCGGTGAATAATTTTCGGGTGATTCCAAGTTTGGTATTGCATCTTAGTCTTATTTTTATGACGCTAATATTGCTTGCGTCGAGTGGGATTTTTTCCCGGCAATAATATTTCTTATGCTTTCTGCTTACTCTGGACAATGATTTTCAATAGTAGTAGTTGCTCGATTTACCCCTCCCATGATCGTGAGTTCGTTCGTGTGACATTCAAATATTCCGTGTCTTTTTCGAGATAGGTATTTAGAAATATAAACATAGCACGGAAAAATAAAATGTCGGGATAAAATTACTTTTGAACTAGCAACCCTCCATCTGTCTTCTTCATATTTTGTTGATTTGTGATTGGGTAAAAATACGTCTTCTCTTCTGTCGTAAGTCGTACCTACACAAAGAGTGAAGTGGATTATAATACTCAGGAAATTGTACTACGTTTTTATTTGTTAATCCATCGGCAAGATGGGATTCTTTAAAGTTTTTGGTTTTATCGTGTTCTACTTGACCTGCACGTTATCTTTCAATAATGCTGAACCGTGTGAGATGCGAGCACCGTGTGTGTGTGTTTTTTCAAATGGCACCGGAATCGACCTTACTCCTGCGATTTCAACTGAATTTTACACAGCGAGTACGTATGAGGTCAAGATGAATGGGTCGCAATATGAAATGAGTACCTATTACTATCATCCGTGCTACGACGTTAATTTGAACGTGAGCCAGTCACTTCCCAAAAACACTTGTACTTTACCTTTGTCGGTAAGTTGTATTGCACCTAATATAGATAATTATAGTTGTTACATTGTAATCGTAGAGCGTCTAGGTCATCCTACCCGGTATGGGTTTCACAATTATAAGTCAGTATATTTAGGGCCCCATTTGTTACATTTTGTTACCGCCTACCGACAAAACGTGTTTACAGTGAGGCATTGACGAAACCAGTTTTACCATAAAAAATCCGTAATCAATACATAATTCTATTTTAATGTAGTCAAATGTTTTAAACTTTCCAAATGTTATGGAATGTCTTATGGTGTTGGGTTTAACTAAAATTAAATAAAACTTGACTGAAACATTGATTATCAATCTATTTTTATGTTAAGTTCATGATTTATGAATATAGTACAAACAGTATAATATAATGGACAATACAATTCTGTTTTCTGGGAAACATAATATTCTATGTAGGTATTTGTAACAAAAGCAGATTAAAATAGTGTTATTATGTATATTGTTGGAAATATCTATTTTATCTTATTAGAACTCATTTATTTATTGCTTGTGAGAGTTTTAAACTTAGCTAACATGTACAATGTATAATGAAATTAAGTAATGTAACAAATTAAAATTACAAAACATAACACCAGAGAATGATTATAAATTTTTTATCAATGCCTTGGTTTTACCAGTGGCTTTGCTCATAATGTTCTGAAAACTCTCAAAATGTGGCTTTAACATTATTCCATACAATAAAACCTTTGTGGCAACTTTCATACAAATCTATCCACATATTTGACGTTGGGGAATAAGTATCCATCCGAACATTCACTTGCTATCTTATCAATAAATCTCAAGTGCATGTATGATGTTGTAATATGCAGCAGGAGTTTATAACTGTTAATTTAAAATCAACAAAACAAACAATTTACTTTTCTATAGATAATGTTTATTTGATATGAGAAAAAAGTACCTAACAGCATTTTTTCCTGTGTGTTATTGGATGACCTTTAAGTTTAGGACTGTCAGTCAAGGAATACTTCTTTAATCTGGTTAATTACAACTACCTAATTTAATGATTTTACTAAATTAATTGTTATGTTTTCGGCTTACTATCATATCATACATATTTTGCTGTACAACTATGGAGATCTGGAAAAGGTATATGTGTAGACGAATAGTGTACCTCCATGACAAGGTGCATGAATGTGATAGAAGCATAGAAACAAAATTAGTATGTAGAGATCGACACTTACTAGATGACAATATTTAGTTTTTTTACTATCGCTATGGGACAAAGATCAGAGTTTATGTATGTAAGTGATACTGTAACTATGTATGTATGTAAGTGATATTCAAATTATGTAAAACATTAAAAGATAATTTTTACTTGAGCCTAATGACTACCTTGTATTCTGATTTCAGATTTGTCGTCATGTAAGCACCATGAATCTGGCAAATGGAACGACTAACACGTTTACATTTGATCAAGGCTCCTATGATTTCATGGGTAGAACAAGTATATCAAACTTCTCTGACCAGGGCAACTCTATCAAATATCCCAATGGGCCATCGTAAGTAACTAATATCTTAATTGTCGATGAGAGTACTTGTAACTATTTTATATGTGCAAGGCATTAATTATGGTTGCAGATGTATAATCTGCAAGAGGCTCATTTGCCACATAGACATTCAGACTAACAATATAATAACATGCTGTTCTTGAATAACAGTTTTGTTAGACAGGCATACTACCTATAGGTATAAACTCACTTGGCCGAGTGGTCGCAAGTCCGACTGCCGGGCAAGGGGTCTTGGGTTCGATTTCCGGGTCGGGCAACGTATTAGTGAGATTAAAAAAAAAACTCAATAGTAACAAAGAGTCTCGAATTGTGCCCGGTATAATGGTAATTCAAATTCAAATTCAAATTCAAAATTTTTATTTCAGATAAAACATCCATATTTATGTTAGTTAGTAGTAGTACAACTTAGCCTAATGTTAGTAAATTATAATAATTATATGTTCATTACTTTATTTGGATAAGTGAGTCTGGATACTTATCCATCTACGTAACAGGGGAGAGTCCCACCGGTCAATGAACACACTCAGGATGCCATTGGAGGAAGAACGCAGGCGCGCCAACATTGAGGCGCATCTCTTCCGCATGATCGCGGCGAACCCATCCACACATGCATCCGCGAACATCCCTGACGCGCTACATCGCCACGGCAACCCCAAAAGCACCCTAAATGCGCCATTGTACTGCACGCGCAGATCGCTGTATGCCCACTGGGTATACATGGTCCACAAGCTGCACGTGTAAAACCACTGGCAAAAGGCCTTAAAAAGCGTTATTTTTACGGATTCCGTTCAGTGTGCAAACCTGCGGGCCGTAATAGGCTCACCTCCTATTACATGGGACTCATAACATAAATAGTGAAAAGTGGGTATTACAATGTACAGTGGCATTAAGCGCCGGAATGTGCACCTCTGCCTATCCCTTCGGGATAACAAGGCGTGTGTAATGTGTAAATGTTATGTTTTACCTATATAAAATTTGACGAATAAATAAAGCGTTAGGGCTTTAGTCTTATGTTCTTGATAAATATCAGTCTATAAATTCACTGGGCCAATATCAACTATAGTCTTATACAGCATTATTTTTTTAATTTCAGCGAAACAACAGTGCTCTTGGAGTGTGCTGAGACAGAGAACAAACTTCAAGTGTATTCATTATCAGAACCTGATAAAATTGTAAGTCATTCTTGTTTGATTATAATATACCTAGCAAACTTAATTATAATATTTTAGTTAGTCCATTATGAAACATATGGTTGTAACAAGGTCACTTGACAACAGATGCTTTGTGTGGACTTGACACTTTCTGATTATATAGGAATTCTGTGTTGAATTTGAAATGGGCATCTATGTGAGAATAAAACATGACATACCTAACTTCGGAAGAATTAGAGTATGCACACTCTACGCAGTTTTGTATCCATGTCAAAGTGAAATTCAAAATCATTTATTTCAATTAGACCAGAAAGGCACTTGAATGTCAACAAAAAATTAAAAGTGAAGCTATTTGCTCATTCCAAGGTGTATATTCCTATGGAGAAGAACGAACAAGAAACCCCATGTCCTAACTACATCTGTCTATAGAATTAGAAAAAAACACAAGTTATGAGATTTTCAGGGCACTATAAATGGAATGCTTAGACAAAACTACAATATGACAGGCGTTAGTACAAATAACTGCACATGTAGTTAATGGAATAACTTCCTTTTACTAATTACAGTAAAGGAAAACGCAGTTTAAATAATTTTCCTATTGTAACTAACTTGTAAAGGTATTGTTTAGGTTCGAGAATGCATTATTTTTAAATTAAAATTTTATACAACGAATTGGGCAACTTCATTTATGTTGTGTCCAAGGGCCGTGGCGCTAATCGCTTGTCTTCAGGTAATGCGTCTGCTTGTTTACTTGCATATAAAGCAATTTGTTATTCAACCAAATTTGAGAAAATTCAATTGTATAGTTGAAACTCTTGTTTCATTATCATCATTATCGTGATCACCAGCCTATTCATATCCACTGCTGGACATAGATTTCTCCAATAGCATGCTAATGACCATAGGGTGGCATTTAACCACTGCTAGCCACTTGGTATCGCTAATCTTTAACAAGAGGAGCGCCCTACACTATGTTTGGCTAGTCATCTTCTATTAATTGGTATTTCTCACGAACGTTACGATACGAAAGACTATACACTGTTAAGTTAAGCACTATACTAACTGTTAAGTTAACTATATTGACATTTCTTTGTTATCAAAATATTTCTTATTTTTAATATTTTATTTAGAAAATCATAATGCACAATAGCAATATAAATTTGTTAACGACAATTAACTAAGACTCGTTTTCGATTTCTAATTAAAAATGCATTTGATGCAATCAAGCGTTTAGTATTTTTCTACTGGTGTTATCTATATCTGTAATGACGTTAAAACTTGTAGAACCACAATGTGATACATTCAAACCAGTTTCTTCTTCGTCCTACATTCCAACTAAAACCGTATGGTTTTTTTGTTACGTTATATTTAATTATCTACATCGCCTCATAGGTCGAGTGGTCGAAGTGTGATATTTGAAAAAGGGCTCAAGTTCGATTCATAACATTGATTCCTAAAATCGTTTAGTAATACGTTCACGCTCTATTAAATGGCAATAATGGCTTTTTATTTGAGGCGGGAAAATCATCCAATGACTTTTCCCGCCTTGGGTTAGGCGAGATTAGTCAGACTTACTGACTAAAAACCACCCCGTTCCTACTCCTGCTCTTCGAGCCGGAGCTTAGCTCCGGCAACCCGTTATGCCATTCGCGGTCCGGGAATAATGGGTGCGAACTGTATTCAGTTTGGAACGCAATAGATATACTATAAGCAAATAATATGCAGGTGATCATTACCTATACCTACATACCTACCTGTTATAATTTTAAACTTTATAATTTGCTAATAAGTACCTATCAATCTTTAATGGGAATGTGACAGGTAACAAATATATACCAAATACACTACTTAACTACACACGTAATCAAGAGTACCCCTATTGGCGTAGGCCGTAATCAGACCTAATCGTATGCGAAATGATAATTATGATTTTGAATAAATTAATAAACTGTTTTTCTCTAATGTTTTCAGGTGTTAGCGTTTTATTCAAAAGATGCATGCTTGAAACAAATAGAGGTGAACGGAAGGTCTTTCGGCTCCACCCTGCTGATTATATTCTTCTCTTTTGTGGTATTCTACCTCGTACTCGGGATCTGCACGAAGAAATTCTTGATGGGAGCGACTGGTGTCGAAGTTATACCTAACCTTGCATTCTGGTCGGATCTGCCCAACCTTGTGAAAGTAAGTAGTTCGACAATACATGGTTGTCTGTTTTTTTTAAATAGCTTAATATTTTAATTGCTGTGCAAATAATTCTAGTACTGAAACCGATTTTAGAAAGGACAATAAGCTCTGAATGCCTGCAGAAACTAATGAAGGCAAATTTTGCTCCTGACTACGTTGGTAGTGAACTTTATAAATATAAAGTTTGTTACATATTAACTCGTCGAGTACCGGTTTTGTAGACACAATTATAGAACAATAGGTTGCGGTCACCGGTGACCGCTTGGTGTTTGACAGTTTAAAGAGTCTCAACTTAGGTAATATTAAGTTGTCGAACACGACAATCTATAGGTGGCTTTTGCTAAAACAAATCTAGAAAAGTAAATAATATAAGCAGGTGCATAATATTACGCAGAAATACTATTAAAAGTTCTTATAAATGCAAGTCATTTTATGCGCAAAATATTTTGGCAACCGAGAAGTTGACGACCGACACCTGGTGGTGGATAAACTGAATAACACATAAAATCTTGAGTTATTTCAAGCTATCCACCATAGGAATAAACTGTATTTAATAACAATGGCGAGTATCGACCTGTCGATAGACTAAAAATAGTTTGTCGTTCCACGTGTCAAGCTCCATTGAGTTCGTCTCGATAAAGACCGATCTGTGCTTTGTGGGGAGGACGTACATAAGAGAACTTTATCTCTTAATTAGAGATTAATGGTCGTAGACTAAGATACTCCTTAGCAAATTGAACACAATTTTTGTGGTTTTTTCATTTCAAGTTTGAAGTGATGAGTAAAAATACTCCTCAAGAATTAATGTGACTTAGTATTCTTATATATAGTAAGTAAACGAGAAACCTAATCATTTGGTCAAATGGCAGACTGTGCTCGTTACGTCCAATTGTGTCACCGATAGCCAATAAGGGAGCTGCGTGTTGTTTATTGTCCTTATTGTAACTTTCACTCCTTTCTACTGCCTTTGTGTCCTTTACGACTTACAGCTTTTAAAACTTGGTGTTATGACTGATCCATGCTGCTGAAATTTATATTGCAATGTAATTTATGACTATGAAGACATTCAGATACAATGTAAATTGTTTAATGAATAAATGTAATGAAATGAAATAGGAATTATAAACATAATGTATTGTGATACCTACACATGTGTGTGAACTTGCACTTTCGGGAAAGTATTCAAAATGTCCTTGTAGCAAAATCTACAGAATGTGTACACATTTCCAGACTGTGCTACTACTTACTGAGTTTTAAATATTATTATTATGTTTTTAGGATGGCTGGAGGTTTATGTGCAATGGTTTCAAGTTGCCCCCTCGAGGCGCCGGTCCCGCAGTGTCTCCCGACCCCAACAGCTATGACAGCATATAACATCAGGGTGACGAAGACCTCTCTGAAGGTCATCTTGTCCTTGTGGAATAGACAATCTGACTGTGTTCTTAATTTCTCAATGTTTTTTCTTTTAATTCGTGCTGTCGTTACATTTGCGTGTGTGTAGAATAAGATTTTGAATTTTATATTTTTATTTACAAAGAAACGCACGATTATTTACTTTATATGATGATATTAGACCTTTGTTGTTGAATGATGTCTTTAATATTTTTTTAATGCATTCTAGATGTGTCGTTAATTATATTGAACGCAAATGTAATCATAGCTTATTTGATGGTGATTGAAATTTAAATTTCAAGTCATAAATACGTTCAACAGACATCTAAGAATAATAATAATATTAACTGTGAAGTGGTAAGTTAAAAACTTGAAACATAATAATAATTCTCGAATATTTTGTATAATAAACCTCGAATATAATATGATCTACTTATCCAATTACAATAGTAGACGAAAAATATTTTAAATAATTGTTTTCATTCTTTTTTCAACTTATCGTGAATAGTAATCTCAAAATTTACATGTGCACAGATTCATTATTTATAAATCAGGTAGCCATTTTATGGTGCAATCGGCATTAGGAACGCTGGCCTATTTATTGTGATGAATACGTGTAATTATAAAAATAATATACCTTTATTGATATATATACAAGGTGTTGTTTTAAAGCCGCGTCATTTTCTAGGAGGTAACTCTGCTATCGATTCTGAGTCCGAATCAATAAAAATATTGTACATAAATAGTTTTCATTTTTCTGTAAATCCGTAAGTGCGAACTATACGCCGCCGTCTTGTAACTAGCTTTATAACGCGGCTTAACACACACAAACTCAAACACGTAATATTCCTAATTCCATAAAACTCCAATAAAAAATATTGCTGTCACTTATTCTGAAATACTGTCGAACTTAAACGATTTATTATAGCCGTATTTTAAAAACTATTGGCGCGAAATTATTTCTTACATTGAACCTTTATGACTCTGTGACATTACCTCGAGAAATGCCACGGTTTCAAAACTACACCTTGTATAATTGTACATTTACATTATAGAGATATTATAACCTATATATTGCCATTATTTTTGTACAGGGTGTAAACGGAACGCTTCCGAAACACTGACAAAAATATATTTTTTTAAATTTTAATAGTTTTTTGTGTTATTCATGCAACGCCAGCCTTGAGCACTTGATTTCAACTGTCATTACACAAAATAACCATTTCAAATGAAACTTTTTTACCATCACCTGTCTTCGTTTTTCGGCAGCGTTGTCTATACACTCGACAATGTAAATTGACTTATTTTTCGGCACGCTACTAATAAGTTGTTGTTAATTTATTTGATTTAATTTTTATTTTATTTATTTATTATTGCCTCAAGGTAATCTAAATTGTGCAATTTTCAATATTATTCGTATTTTGTTGATGGTCAAATATTGCAATAACTGTGCCAATTTACTTTGACTCTTCGAATATATTATGCATAAGTACATAAATATTAAATAATAATGAATATTCTATAAATATATGTAATGAAGTAGCTTATATATAACTGCTAATATGTATTAGATATAATTGGCTGCATGGCGTATTATGGGATACTGAACTGCGTTTTGAACAGCATATTATGAAAACTTTATAAATATGTAATGAATGTCTTTAAGATTAGCTACTTAAAAGAAGTTATCTATGTAAATCTTTAGTATGTCCATGCAGTATATTTTCCTATATATTTAATGCAAAAGCATATCTAAATAATGTAAACATTTCGATACTGATTTATTGAATCTCCAAATCTTTGGACCAAAAGTGATATTTTCTTACTTCGCTTACCCTTTTTAATATTTTACTTGACTATTTTATATTTAAATATAGTTAAGTATAAATATATATATATATCTCGTGTTTATTGCCAAAACATATATGAAGGCAATTCATACTTACATAATAAAATCTTAAGATAATACAGAATCCAAATATAACTTACTGTGAGCTTAGATGTTTGTCTTATAACGATATATCACAATTTTAAACAGTTTGCACAAATATATCACTATACCATACGGATGTAATTGATAATATTGTCCATACTGTAGGTAATCATTCGAATAAATTGTATGGGAGTGTGTGTAAATGCATTATAATAATAATTACATAATATAATAAACATATAATATTAATATCGTAAGCACTAGTCATTTTTAGGTTCACTATAACGCACTATATATCACGTGGCTTATAAGTTTTACACTGTCACCAAAATAAAATGCATGCTGTATAACACTTTTATATAAAGGGTGTGCCGGAAACCTTAAACTATTATTAAAAGAGAACAGCTAGTACAAAACCGTACCGCATAGTTTCAGCTCAATATATAGAAGTATCTACTTTAAAATATCTATACCAGAATTATAGGTGAATACTTCGCTCGCACCAATCAGCGACTTAAGTACTAGTTATGTGCTTATTCCAACTTTAAATTTTCTGTTTCTGGTACCGATGTTTTATAATATTGTCGACGAGATCGGACGGTTTATTCAAAAAAAAAACCATCCTTTATTTTCATATAGTTTCCGTTACACCTTGTATAAAATGTAAAAGGAGTGTACTATACTATACAAAAGTTAGTGTGATACCATAATACATTTAGTTGCTAATTTAAATGATTGTTTGCAAAACATTATGAAGGACGGGAATCGAATCAGATCGACGAATTGGCTCTTCTCAGTCTGCGTGTAAACGAAATTGTGTCTTAGCGAAATTTTGTATGTATATTTTGAATCTAAATTATATATTAACTTAAACGTGCAATGATTGTAAACGAAAAACAATAAATTAAATGGAATAAAATTCATGTCTCGAATATATTTTTTGATATTACTAAATTGTGAGAATAAAGTCGAATTGGAAAATGATCTTTTATTCATGGAAAATAAATGCTGAAAATGTATTTTTAGGTTATCTTTTATGAATAAAACTGTAGGTTAATCGAAAAGGCTTGAGAATGTCGAAACAATGAAGATTGATATTATAATAAAACATTATAGTTTGAAATATTGTAACACTGAAAAATGAATTTTATCGCTTTGTAATAAAGGTGCAGTAGGTGCAATGATTGTAAACGAAAAACAATAAATAAAAGGAATAAAATTCATGTCTCGAATATATTTTTTGATATTACTAAATTGTGAGAATAAAGTCGAATTGGAAAATGATCTTTTATTCATGGAAAATAAATGCTGAAAATGTATTTTTAGGTTATCTTTTATGAATAAAACTGTAGGTTAATCGAAAAGGCTTGAGAATGTCGAAACAATGAAGATTGATATTATAATAAAACATTATAGTTTGAAATATTGTAACACTGAAAAATGAATTTTATCGCTTTGTAATAAAGGTGCAGTAAAAAACTGTTACCATACGTGACTATGGGTGTTTCATTTAAGGTGTTATTGTTATGTACCTTTTAATGTTTGTGTTATGATTTAATTCCATGGTTTTTACAGAGTAGCAAGGATAGATAATTCAAAATAGAACCACAAATATAACGATAATTATGTTAATAGATCCGAGTGTGTGTTAAAAGCGCTTGTTAGACAGAGATGGAATAATGGGAAGATAAGTCAAAGAAAGAATATATATCAAAATCAAATGTATACCTATTGACAAATTATAAATAAGGTCTGATATCAGCCCTCCAGACAAATTATTTTTATGACGATATCCTTACTCTGTTTCTCGTCTGACATGCTACACCATATCATAGACTATGGAAATAGTTACATTCGGAAGGATATTGCCAATATTGAAACCAAAAAGTTTTAATGTCCTTTAATTTGTCATTGTTCGTGTTTGTCTGCTTAGCACATAATACTTATATACTGGTATCGTAATCAATATATGGGTCATTTAACCTTATTCGTTTCAATAAGTGTTTTTGATTTTCCACCACCAGTTAGCGCTAGTGAGACGAAAGATCCTATGGGTCCTTTGCTTCGTGCATAATTATTGCATAACTTAAAACTACTCTAGCGCCTCCTGGTGGTGAAAAAACTATTATTCTGGTAGAGCAGTGTGATATCAATGAATATATCATTATTATACACGTCATAATAACCTAAGAACTGCATTATACGTATACATAATAATATAGTAGATATTTTGTATTCAATATTTTAGGGTCCCCTGTTGTTTGAAGTGTTTTCTAAGGTTAATAAATAAATAAAATTATTATTATTGCTCATCAACGTAATTTTATTTGTATAAATAATTTATATTTATGTGGAGCATGGCATTATTGTTTGTTGTCGCTTATGGTAATTTTATTCCCAGCTGAAACAAAAATTACAGTTTGTCAAAAGGTAAACAACATTAGTACCGAAATGCCAGTAGTTTGGTCTTGGTTTGGTTTTCCATGATGGCATAACAAAAGCCGTGTTTCTATTTGATAGATCTATTCTATTCTACATATTCACAACTTTAAAAAAGTTAGTCTTACATAGTACCTAATTAATATTTAAAAAAATACTGTTATACTTTACCTGAGGCGCAGTTTCAACAAAACATTTATGTAAAAGGACTGATCGTTCACATCCCTTTTCACCGTCGGATACAGCTTCGTCGTTCACTGTAAAAAATAATAAATCACCAATGTATTGTGGTTATATTGTATCGTTCTACTATTTAGGTAGGAATTCCTTATATGCAAAATTAGAGTAAAAACAGTCTGAAATGTTTATCAAAGAAAGATTAAGAGGAATGTCGAGAAATGTTTTAAAAAAATATCCAGTAGGTAAGTACTTATTTACAGTAGTGGGTATAGAGGGTGGCTAAAATTACTTTTGGAAAGCGGACATTCGTTATTTTTTTTTTTGTTATACCTTTCTTGCAGGCTTCCAGAAGTTTCTTGGAACTTTCTAGTCTGTTCGGGTCATTAGCGAAATCTTTTTGTGTCATTGCTATTGAGTTTTCTGCATCAAACATGCCCTTGCTGTCTAGCTGTAAATTGGGGTATGGTTAGTTATGATTAATTATAAATACGTAAGGCTGAAAATACAGGCAAGCGAGTAGGGGCATTTCTTAATACTGGTGACGCACCGGGGAAGGCAGCTAAGTTTTCTAAATCAGTCTTCTTACTGTGACACAAAGTAGCATGAAAATATTTGCAACTCCCTCCACGAAGGAAGGAAGGTTCTAAGAGGCCTTTGTTCAACAGTGGACGTATTCCGTCTAATGATGGTGGTGTGGTGTTTAAAATGTGCGACAAATTACTTTTATGTTTGCGGTCAAAGAATAGTTTCTGCATCTGCTTTATCTACTTACCATACCAGTTTTCTTGAAAACGCAGGCGACGAAACATTTAGCGTTGTTTGTATCAGGTATTTTATTTTCCTTTAGCTCCAGCATCTCTTTTGGTGATATAGGATGTTCAATGTTACAGTCCATGCCTTCACGGAAAAACCATGCTTTGATTTCTTGATCAGTTCTAGCCTGTACCTAATTAAATTAAACGATCTATTAGGAACTTTTTTTCATTATGAAATCTTACGAAATAATAATATCTCTTTTTATATTAACAAGACATACTAAAGTAACTAAAATAGTAGTAGGCTGCGCGACATCGCCGCGAGCGCGCACGCTGCTCACGAGGAAGAACCTCTCTATGGTTCGAAACTAGTAGAGCTTTTCTCAGCATACTCACGTGAGTAACCCGCGATTTTTTTTAATATCTTTTTTAATTAACGTCCAACAAAAAATAAAAGAACAGTACTTACATGAGCGCCGTAAAATTCTACGATATACAAACATAATAAAAACCGAACGATCATTTTCACTTAACTTCAAAAAATGAACTGTTTGCCAATTGCAAATTTTGATAAAGTTTATATAGTTTTTCAAATGAGCCCAATGTGTAGGATTAAATATAATAATAGAAGAATATTTAAATAGTAATTTTGATACAGTTGGATATGATCTTAATTAGTTAGATATATAATTTTGGAAGCAGGTAGGTACGTTACTCTCATTAGTGTCAGATGACAATGACGACCTACTGATCGTAATCTACCCAATGGTTATATTCGAGCTATTATTTGATTTGTGGCACGTGGAAAATAATAATTCTCACACGCAGGAGTCTGTCATCAAATATCTAACATACCTCTCACCCAATGACTCTTACTGACTGAAAACTACCCCGTTCACACTCCTGCTTCGAGCCGGAGGGAGGAGGTACTATACCTCATTACCTTACATATTTACTTATGACGAGAGCTCGGCACGACCTAAGGACTCGTACACAAAACTGCAATGCGACGTCGCATCGCAAAAACGTGCAAGCTCCCTCTACGCATCGCAAGAACTTGCGAATTGATTCGCATCGCGCATCAAAATCTTATCTTCCCAAAATCTTCTTTGTTTCTTTTTCCTGTATCTCCTAAGCAATAACAGAAGTGCACACTTCTTTTTGCGATCCATGTCACGACCTAGTTTTAAATTTAAAAAAAACGTTTAGTACGGTTGACGGTCGTCGAAGGAATGATCATTGATCACCCTGGGATACGCCTTGTCGTATCGTAATTTTTTACGTTGAGAATTCGCATCGCATCGCATCGCAGTTTTGTGTACGAATCCTTAGTGAGTTAATGTTTTTGGCGGTTAATGTAAAAAGAAGGCAGACTCGTGTATTGTTCTTCTCAATAAGAACTTATATTACCTATTGCAATTAGGCTAAAGGACTTGACTGCATGGTTGGCCAGTGGCTGAGTTGACTGCTGTTAACATATAGCTACATAGGTATTTCCTTTATTTTTTATAGGTACTCGTAGGTACATAGGTAGGTGTCTACCTATCTGTTTCCACAATACTAGTCACGATCAGATAACTTTAGGTAGATATTTAATTATATATGACTATCTATATACAACTATTTACTACATAGATGTGTATCGTCGTTGGTATTCATAGTTGTACGAGTTTGTGGTTATTTAGATTCATTCAATTTTCATCATTTGGGATACCTAATAAATTCTTTCCTGTGGACTCTTTGTTCTCTCTGTAGAGGTACATATCTATTATTATTTTTCATTTTCAGGGTGAAAAATCCTCTTGGAGACAACGAAGGGGAGAATCTTTTACTGACTATAGAATAAAAAAACCTGAACCGTCACGCACGAGCACATAGAGGTACATAGATCCACTGATATCTGGATTTATAAGGGCCCTTGTGGAATCACCTTTATTGGAACCTTTCCCAACATTGCTCTCTATGAACCTAGGATTTAATACAATCTTCCAATTTCCTAAATATTGTCATCAGTAGATAGCTATTACATTAGGGTTTCGATTTTCGTAGTGTCATAAAATTGAAACAGTAATGATAACGGAAAATGTAACAAAAACGTCAGTAAGATTCTCGTAAGGCTGATAGGCTCTGTAGAAATAAATTAAATAGAAATAATAATACTGTACTTAGTTCTGTACCTGAATAAAACGAAATGAAAATAAAAATGAAACATTATATAATATACCTATACCTATCACAACTTGAGTTATTACTTAATACTTTATTAGCGTGTATCCAAGTTAATTTAGACGTAGCGTATCTCATCCTATGGGCAGATTCAAGAAACATAAATAAGTGTTAGGAAAATTGCAAGTTAACAGGCGATTATCTGGAAATTGATGGTGTACGATCATGTTAGACGGAAGTTGATAAATATCAGTCATAATGTTGTTTTTTTTCTTTGTTGTACAAGCTGTAATCAGATAAAGCAATAAAACAATTATAGGGCGACATCGACAGGTTGGCACGAACAAACTACATTGTTGTACCTAGTGCCTTTGTTACGAGTCTCGAGTACCCTTGATACAAATCCAAATGTCCTCACTAGTCGCACTATCACCATTGATTTGACTACTTGATCGCCTTTGATTAACAAACATAACATAACATAACATCACATCTTTTTATCCCCGAAGAGGTCGGCAGAGGTGCACATTTCGGCACTTAATGCCACTGTACAAT